TAAAAGAAATGTCAACATTATTATCTGTGCTATTAAATTTTAAAAGTTTCATTATATTATTCAAAACATCTAAAATTTATAAATCACATAAAACATATGTTTCTCACGAATCACATCGTCTCAAAATATCCTAAGCTCCACTGTCTAAAAGAAGGAAAAAATAAAATAAAACGAGCAATTCATGGCTTTTGTTCGCAGGTATCTCTGTATTTACAAAAAACCCCATTTTGCCCTTTTACTCTATATTTCTATTTTTATATAATAAAGCTCTAGATGTGCAGTGTGCTTGCCTTATTCAATCCTCTCTCACTTCCATTTTCCTTCTCCCTCTTCCCACTTTCTCTATCTAAAACCCTTCCCAAGTTTCATGCATTCTTGTATTCGACTAAGCACCCTCAAAACATGCTGTCTTCTTCTACTCGTTTAGTCAAAATCTTGATAATGAAGACAGAATCTATCATTTTCTGCTAAATCTGTGTGTATATCATGAGTAATTGAAGTCGAAGAGGCAGCAGCTGATTGGGGATACATACCAAATTTCTAAATTTCTAAATCCGATTCTGATTCATCAGGTCAGCTCAATGCCCGAACTCTCTTTCTTGTGGGTGCTTGTTAGTTCATGGAAAATTTGCAAAAACTTGAGAAATTTAAGGGTTCGAAACATTGTCTTTGTGACTTATCTTCAACATAACCACATATATAATACTGTTTATGTGGTTTTCTCTTTTGGGTTATTGAGAAATCGTAGAAAGTTTCTGATTTTCTTCTATATGTATTTTACCGGACCAGATTTTAAATTGTTTATGCGTGTTTGTGTGAATTTGTTGGATTATTTTAAATTTGAAAGAGACATTTACTAAAGTAAAGTATTTCATTATTGAACGCGGATTTGAACTCAAAAGACTTAATAAATCGCTATTAAAATGACTTTTTTGCATTTGGCAGTCGAAGCATACCTGTTAATTCATTGGTCAATATCCAACGGTTGGATTTGAAATTAATGATATTTTATTATGGTCAAGAAGTTTCAATGGGTGTTCTTATATTTTTGATGAAGAATCAATTAGGGTTTAGTTTTGGGGGAAGATTTAGTGCTTTTGTATGTTAAGGATTGTATGCCAATTTCTGACAATAAAAGTGGGAATCTTCTTTCTTTTCTATTTATGACAGAATGAGAGTGTAATTCTCAAGTTTTTGAGAAACAATTTACGAATTTCCTCGAATTATTTATCTGGGTTTGTTGCAGAAGTATTCAAAAAGAATTATTCCCCACTGCTCTTTATCTATTTTTTTCAGTAATTTATCATCTAAACTATTATAGACTGATTCTCATTGTCTCCCTCTAATATATAAATCTTCATTCCATGAATCTCTATGTCTCCAACTTAAGAATCTTGATTATTTAGACCTAAATAATAATAAAAAATAAGAATTTACACAAATATTCATGTTTTTTTTAGGGAATTTCTTCAATGGAGACGCTATCTTCATCAACTTCAATGTCTTTTCCAAGAGAGCCAGCCAATTATGACGAGATTGCTATGCACGAAACGTTGCTATTTTCGGAAAGTCTTAAGGCATTCATCGCTCTCTTTCTAGTTTCACAATTATCTATAAAGAAACCAAATTAAAATCTGTAATTTTTTTTTTCAGGATTTAACAAATTTGAGAAAGCAATTATACTCGGCCGCTGAATACTTTGAACTATCATACACCAACGATGACCAAAAGCAAATGTGAGTTTGACCTAAAAAGTCAACATTTTTTTTTCCAGATGTAAACGTTGTAGCTTAATCTCAAATTTTTATTCATACAATATACTATCAATTTGTTGATAGGGTGGTTGACACATTAAAACATTATGCCATCAAGGCTATAGTCAATACGGTTGACCATTTGGGTGCTGCTTCGAATAAAGTTGACAATATTTTTGACGATAAGGTTGAAGAAGTTTCCGGATCAGAGCTTCGAGTATCTTGCATTGAACAGGTACTCTTTCATTTTGGCCATTCTTTAGGACCCATTTGTTCTGACATGACAGGTTGTACTGCATATGAGGTATATTGGACTGGGACCGAGACTGATGTGAGTTAGACAAAATTTGCAGCTTTTTGTTTGTCACATCCAAAAAGGTAAAATAGTTACACAGGACACGACATAACATAATTTAACAGGTTGTCCTGCTTCTGACGTACGTGAGACAAAAAAAATTGCAGCTTTTTGTCCCATCCAAAAAGGTATACTCACTCTTTCTCGTTTGTGCAAAAGACGTAAATGCCCTCACCCTCTTCATCGAAAATAGCCGTAGAAAGCTTTAAAAATGTGAAATTCAAGTTCGTCCTTTTTGGTCAAAATAAGCGTTATTTTTGTGTCTAATTTTGATTTTTTTTTTTTTTTTTAATTTTGTAGCGAGTAAGAACATGTCATGGCTATTTTGATCACGAAGGCGTTTCCCAGCAGTCGTCACTTTTAAAAATTCCCAAGTATCATAAGCGATATGTCTTGCCTGGTACTTGTGGATTCAAATTAGTTCTAAATGCAAGAAATAGCAACATACTTTCATTTATTTGTTAATTATAGCATCTTACTTTGATATAAATAGGTAGATTTTTCAAAGTATAATGTTCTGGAATTAAAATTCTATAAATTGGTAAGATTTTCAAAAGCATAATGTTTTAATAAGAAAATAATTAAGAATGCAATGTTGCAATAAAAGGAAATGAAAGTAGGATGCTATAATAAACCAATACATGAAAGTATGCTTCCACATCTTGCCATAGCCCCATGTAATATGGCTTAAAAACTTCCCAAAAATGTGGAATTTGCAAGTTTCATGAGATAGAGGGAGTATGTATTTTTTTTACTTTCGTTCATTGATTTTAGTCATAAAGGTTGATGCTTTATGATAATGTTCAGTTGGGGAGATGATTCAAGATGGCAATGGAACTATATTAAAGCATGAAGAATGCACATTGGTTGAAGAACGTGAACATGAACATGATCAACATGAACATATGAATGGTAAGAATATATTATCATTGTTTTGACTTTTAATGATGTACATTCTCTGTTTATGAACTCCAATGATTGTCACTTATTGTTTTCTTTAATTTTTTTTGGCATACAAGAAGTCGTTCAAGCTATAATTAATGAAAAGCCTGGAACTTTAGTCAGGTAAAGTTTTCGATTAAATTCATAACATAAAGTGTTGTCTGGATAAACGATTACTTTTTTATGAAAATGATGGCAAATTGGTGAAAAGTTTGCATCAAGTTGAAAGAAACTGTACTTTTAGTATAATAATTCTTTTTTTAAAATATGCAGAAAAGAGCAATCTCCTTCTTCTTCTCCTTCTCCTTCCCCCTCTCCACAGGCTTCCCAACAACCTGACTCGTTTTCCTTTGAGGACATGGTGACAAGAAAAGATTTTGGTTTGTATACATTAATTTCACATATAATCTTCTTTGTGTATGCAAATGTATTTTTACTCAATTCTTTTATATGGTGTTTTTCAAAAATGCATAGTTTATGGTGAGTCAGAGAAGAGAGCAGTTTCACCACCTCGATTTCCTCTATTGCATACTGAATCATTCTCAAGTAGGTCAAGATCAAATACTCCAAATTCAAGATCAAATTCAAGATCTTCCACCCCAAATTCCACTCGTCCAACAACTCAAACCACATTTCCACAACAATGGGTAAACCACATCAAATCTTATAAATAATTAATTACTGGTAGTGATTTCATGGAAGGGTATTTTAGACATTTGACGATATATGTTGTGCAGCATCAAGAGCCTAGGAAATCAGTTTCAAAGCAGAGGAATGGTGATAGAGAGACATGGAAAGAAGGTGATCAAATTCAGAGCAAAAGCAAACGTCTGCTCAAGGCATTGCTCAGTAGGCGCAAGTCAAAGAAAGATGAAATGCTTTACACTTATTTGGATGAATACTGAAGTGAAAATTAGAGGACTTTATGCAAAAACAAAATATAAATATATATATATATATATATTTCTTGTTGAATTCATTTATAAGTGGCTATAATGTTAGGGTATTTCTATGGTTTAATAGTCATTTTGCACATTAGTATGTGTAGATGTGATTCATTAGAAGGAATAAGTATAACTAATTAACTATAGATATAGAGTTTAGTGTATTTCGTGAAGTTATGTTAGGGAAATTACAACATTTTTTATTGAGATACTTCTGTTTTGCAGTAATCTTTTCTCTTTTGTGGTAAGCACACAGTGCTACAACAATTCTTGCGTAATAGAATTGTGTTTTTTTAGGATTAAATTTCAAATTTATTATTTTCCTAAAAAAGTCATTGTATTTTTTTATTTTTATTTTTCGATTTACCCGTTATAGTTTTTTTTTTTTTTTTTTTTCGAAACCACAAATTTGAATGTAGGTGAAAAGGACCAAATCTGCAAATTTGAAAGTCGTTGGACTTAATCCAAAGAAAATGACAAACCTGAGGGACCAAAAAAAACAGTGATAGTCTAAAGTCTAAACAAACAAAATGACAAAAAAAAAAACCATTAAATAAAAGGGTCCAACACAGTTTAATGTAATATAACTTGTGTTCATGTTCATTGGAATTTATCGTAAACAGATGTTATCTGCTAACCGGTTTTGGTGAGTAAATACTGGTTTAACTGAAAAGATATCAATGATTTTTCTACCAAAAAAATTTCTGTCACCATTTATTTCAAGAAAGTAACCGAAAATGTAAGTTCTTTTCAGAAATAATAAATGTAGTATTATTTATTTACATTTTTCAACAAACATTACCAACTAAACTTATACATAAAAAACATCATTTTCGGTATTTCAGTTTGGTTGAGGTTTTACTTAAAAAACCTCAACCAGATCAAAATATTGATTCTTTTGGTTTGTTTCGGGTTTTTACACTCTTAATATAAAAACCCAACCACACACATAAATCACAATACACTAAAACACCTGCAAAACAAGCAAGCAAGTATGCTCACAGAATTTATAAACGCTTGTAATTTAACAAAAAAAAAAAATTCCATTATGCTCCTATAATCAAGAAGCTAAATTCCACAAATACCAAGTTATACAATTCCATCTAATGAGCACACATGTAACATGTCAGAGTTCCATATCTTTACCAAATTGTTCAATTGTCTTCGTTGCTAATGTCAAAGCATCCATAAATGCACTAAAAGACGCCCGAAGAAATCTAGCTTCAACTGCCTCAAAATGCCTGCAATAACACACACAAATTTTAAATCTTTCTCTCAAGGTTTAAAAACCAAATCTTGCATTCTATCACAAACACAAATAAACTCACACTGAAAGTTTCCCATTAGAGACAGACATCAACCTCCTTACTTTATCTGGCTGCAGCTGCAATTGGAAAGATAAAGATAGTAACAGCTGACATGACATGACATGACATGACATGACAAAACAGTTTGTATTGTGTTTGATATGTATTGGACTGGATCGAGACTGAGTGATGTAAATGAAACAAAATGCAATACCTCTTTGTCAACATTGAGTGTTGAATATATGATGCAAGCGTTTTCCTCAGACTTGCAATCCACTTCCACATCACTGCAAACAAAAAATTTATAATTTGGATAAACAAGAAAGACATGTGTGATGTGCTTATGGTGAATCAAATATTTAAGTTACAAATTCAGAAACAAAATTCATATCCTGTTTTCATAATAAAGCAAAAGGTTGAATATCTTTCAAAAGCTAAAAAGAAAGAGAGACTAACCAGGTGAAATCCCACTTATTGAGATTCTTTTCTTGGGCATCTGTTTCCATGGTAGAAGTCGCAACATCCATCTTTAACTCTGAAAGTGCAATAAGAGAAGCGATTATAATCACTGCTAAATAAATCACTGCTAAATAACACTCCATTAACAAAAGGAAAGAAAAAACATTGTGTTATTAAGTAAAATATCAAGCTAAACAGCTTCTATCTATGGATAATAAGAGAAGGAAAGAACAAAAAAGGATGCAACATGAAGTATTGGAGATTTGGGAACTAAAGATTAATTTCAGAAAATATAAATCAATTTTAAATATAATTAAAACTAGAAACCAAAACAACATTTCATTAAGCACCCTTGCGCTTTGAACTTGCAGTATCTTGAAGAAGCGAATTGCAACTTGAACTAGTGGTATCTTCAAGAAGCTCATTGCCGCTTGAACTTGAACTTGTAGTATCTCCAAGAAGCACTTTAGTGGATTTAACAATCGCCTTTGCAGCTAGAAAAATTGTTGTGAGAAAGAGATTGTCATCAGATGAGCTGGATGAAGATGAGAGAAGGGGACTCTTTTCAAAAATAGATTTGCTGCGTCTAGGTGATGAATCCATTTGACTAGAAAGGTAAGAGAGAAAATATAATTAGGTGTGAATTGAGATTTGTGAAGTGGTACTTATATGAAAATATTTAGGGTTAAAAAGAAAAAGGCATATAGGATATAGCCATTGCCAATGTTCAAAAGAAGAAGATAGATGAGAATTCCTTAGCCCGACATGGCTTCAAATTTTCCGGAGCCAGAGGCAACCTGCCTCGATTCCGTGCACTCGTAGAGACATTTTATCGAACACTTTATATGCATCAATTGTACCAAAGAAGTTCATATTAAGGATACTAAAGGTGTGGCACAGGTAGACAAGTTAGCACGAGAGAGTCGAAGTGAATATGGATTTCTTACCGACGAAGACGACGACGCAGATGATTCAGCAATCAGCAGAAAGCCGTTATCGTTTCGACCTTGTACCGGACCTGAGAAGTGCGTGCGCGGGTAAACCTAATTCACTAAATAAGCCAAACCCACTAACCTTGATTCTATATCGGTTTGACTTGTTGTCCTCTTGAGTCTTGAACTAAAGTTGAAAAAACTCATTAACTGTTTTTGAATTGGGAAAATGACATAAAAGCCCTTAAGTTTTCACAAAAATGTCGGTTTTACCTTTGGACGTGTTTTATGTCCAGTAAAGCCTGAAGTTTTGTTTAATTTGTTTATTTTTACCCTTGTAGCCGGTTTCCAGGTAACCTACCGGTTACCTAATGCCACTAAAGCCCTTGAATTTTCAAAAATGTTCGGATCTACCCTTAAGTTTTTCAAAAATGTTCGGATTTACCCTTATATTGATTGTTATTATTATTATTATTATTATTATAATAATAATAATAATAATAATAATAATAATAATAATAATAACCAAAATAATAATCAAAATAACAATCAAGGTAAGGGTAAATCCGAACATTTTTTAAAAACTTAGGGGTAAATCCGAATATTTTTGAAAATTCAAGGGCTTTACTGGCATTAGGTAACCGGTAGGTTACCTGGAAACCGGCTACAAGGGTAAAAATGAACAAATTAAACAAAACTTCGGGTTTTACTGGACATAAAACTCGTCCAAGGGTAAAACCGACATTTTTGTGAAAATTTAAGGGCTTTTATGTTATTTTCCCTTTTGAATTCATATTAAATATTTAGTGTTTTTTTTTCTTAAATGACTTATCTTTTTTGAAAATAATGTCAGTGAAATTAGGTGATATAAATATTTTTTTTTGAATTTAAACAAAATAAAAAAATAATAATTGTAGCTTCTAAACAACGTTTTCAGGACTCACGTGAGAGGTTAATCGCGAAACACTAACAATATTTTCTTATACTATAGTTTGAACTTGAATATATCATATAAGAAATTTTGCACTTTAATCGCTAGACTCTCGTCGCATGACCATTTTATTTTCTTTACAATACAAAAAGGTTGGCTCCCATTAAATAAAAAGTTATTTACTAAAATGATCATAAATTGTGTCTCACATGTACTTACTTTTCTAGTGTTAGAGATTTGGATGTAATAGCAATTTGGAATTTTGAGAATCGTGTAGTCACTTTCAAATTGAAGTATTTTGGTGGTACTCCCGAAATCAACAATTCGATAAGACTCAGAATGAGAGAAATAAGACCACAGAATGAAATTGATATGATTTTCGTAAGTGTACCACAAAATATGACCATAATTGGTTATAAACCTCATTTGTGTTGAAAACTGTCACAAAACAGTTTTCTATGTCCCAAAATTGTCTAAACTGTCACAAGACAGTTTCCAACAGTCATAAGCTGTCACAAAACCGGGTTTTTAATAAGAGTCTAGACAAAGTCAAAATCGGGTCAATCGACCATAGCCAGGGGCTCTGCCCCTTGGACTCCGCTTCCATGGGCGTTGCTCCCAGATCCCCATTCGTTTATAGGTTTCACCCCTAAATGACAATCTATTTTGAATCTTGAACAAACTCAAATAAATGTGCATTTCGCACATTCCTTGCTTGCTTAATGTTTGTCAAGATTATATTTGGTCAACAAATTAATCCATCACACTTGAATACATATTGGTAAATACAAATCACTAACATCTAGTAGATCCCCATTTTTTTGACAAAATGGATTAAGAATCTTATTTTTTTTTATTTTAAAATCTTTTTTTTTATTTTGTAAGTTCTTGATATTTGATTAATAAAAACATTTCATTCAACAAAACTAAAATGACCATATATGGAAGGCCCGTGTGTGTGAAAATGACCATCATTTCGATAAGTATCATAAAATGACCGTGTATTTTGTAAAGAACGATCCATATTCCATAAATGCACAAGATCAATTTTCTATAAAAAAAAATTGAGTTTGTGGAAAATTTCACACACTACCTTTACTTTTGTAGGGAAGTCATTAAAAAAAAGTTGTTAAAGTCTTACCGAACAACCTTGTATTTATTAAATAGTTTTTATTAAGGTTGTAAAAAACATTCGGCTGAACCTCGACGGTCGCCTGAGGTTAATAGATTAATCGGCCTAGATGAGGATTAATATGAGATTAATCTGGGGCAATAACTTATTAATAAAACTCTTTAAAAACCTAATATATCCTAAGAAAATATGTATTTAAAAATTTAAAATTTTGAAAATTAGAAAATATGAAATATTTTGTATAATATTTGAAAATTTGAATACTTGAAAATTTAAAATTTTGTAAATTTGAATATTTGAATATTTTTAATTTTCCCGCTTATGAGCGCCATGACCGTCAAGCCCGAGTTTGACTGATATTAACCAGTTTCCGCCAAAGACTTCTAATTGTAATCGGTTGTAGACCGTCAAACGATTAATCACTGATTAATCGGCCGCCAAAGCCGACATCTGCAACACTGGTTTTTATTATGAAAGAAAGTTAGTTGTTGAAGACTTAGCGAACTACTTTTATTTTCATAGAAGTCATTAAGTTCTGAATAATTCAAGAAATACCTATTTTTTAGCGAAGTCTTTTTTCTTTTAAAACCCAAACCCTAACTTGTTCCTTTGCTTGTTCGTCAACGAAATAAGATGAGTCTAGGAACAACCGTTCATATATGGGTTTTGATTTCAAGAAGCAAAACTGGTCTAGAATTTTATTCATGTTCTTTGTGATTTCTAGATTTGTGAAAAAGATCGAAACTTGTGAGACGACACCTCTTAACGCCTTTATAATATGGGGAACATCACCCCTTTCATGTTAAGGGATGTTATGTAGATGTTGGCGTGATAACATATTGAAACATGAGCTCTCTCTCTCTCTCTCTCTCTCTCTCTCTCTCTCTCTCAACACCATGTTAAAACATGGAAACACCATCCTCACTTCATGTTATAATATATTGGAATGTAAAGTGGCAAAGTTTAGATGTTATAACATCCACATTCCTGTTGCCCATACATTGTAGTCTAAGGGATTTTGATTTGTTTTTGTTTTCAATTACAGAAATTAAAAGAGCTTGAACTCATAGAATCCATAATTTTTAATGACTTTCTGCTCCTATCATTCCAAGAAGCTCTATCTTTCCTATCATTGTACAAAATCATAGATAACGAGAGAATATCCCTCGTGACCAAAAAAAATCGAATGCACAACTTTGTAGCCATTTTAATGAATAGCTCCTAAATCTACTCTAATAAATGAAGGTTTTTTGTCACATGTCCTTTTTTCCTTTATTTGGACACATGGCATTTTCTAAAATTTTTAAATTTTCTATTTTCCACTTGTCATTTTATTGTATTTTTCATTTTATTAAATTAAAATTTCACATTTAATATGTAAAGTAATATATATGTAAGGTATTTATTATAAAGGTTTATATATCTAATGTATTCAATACATTAAAGTCTCATTAATTTTAATAATTCAAAAATTTTCTCATTTTTCTTATAAATTCAAACTTTTCAAATTGTTAAAATTTTATATTTAATTTTTTTTAAATAAACCCATGTAATACATGAGTCTCACACCTAGTAAATAATATCTTGTAAGTCTCATATTTTAAAAACAAAAATTATCTTCTTTCATGCAATGCCATATAGAATATTCCATTTCCGAATGGCATATTATCACACATGCTACTTAACCTTTTTAATTTAATAATTTATGTTCACTACACAAGCCAAGTTCCAAGTCCCAACCAGTCAACCACCTTCCTCAATCATGAGCATGGAGAATCCCACGATATTAAGCAAACAACAGGGGCAACATCTCTCTCTCTCTCTCTCTCTCTCTCTCTCTCTGTTTGTATATGTATGTGTGTAGCTGATTGTTTTGTTTTCTTTGATGACGTGAAACTGCGATTATATTGGCTATCGCGAACCTATCTAGAAAACACAAAATTTAGGAAAGCATAGGTTTCGTTGTTGTGGTCCGATTGATATTTAGGTTCTTTTGAATTGCTATCGGCCTCACGCAGTATAGCAATTGAATGATCAAGTTCAGAACTCATATGGTTTGCAGTCGTTTGATGTTGGAATCGAATCATCAAATTCAACTCCAGACTGTCGATTGAACTTGAAGGTGCACATGAATCCCTACACATATAGCACATACAGCTAGAAACGAATTGTAGACGACAGATTTTCTCAATCTGTCATTTACAAGTTCGTACAACATCAATTCGTGGTGTTCTTTCTATAGGTAAATACACGTCGACAGTCAATGCACCATATTTGGGAGTAAAACTAAAACCCTAAATTTTCTCAAACATGACAGTTAATGCACCATATTTGTATCATATTCTCAGAAAAAGCACCACAGTTAGGAGTAAAAACATGCTTTAATTAAACACCATCCCATTTTGTTTTTATGGATTCTATAAGAATTTGGTGATTTGACTCAAAATATGAGCAAGAGTGATTTACAACATTAAGTATAATCAGGAAAAAGCAAAAGTGATATAAAATACTCGAAAATTATATGCTTTTGGGTTGAATCCCATTGCAACTCAAAACTCCCTCTTGTATATGTTTCTATTTGTTATAACTTATAAAGTTATATCATTCATCTTTTCTGCACTTTGTTGAGCCTTACATCAATATGTTCAGTAAATTGCCTGCAGGGTAATTTGGTTTTGAGTGATTAAGATTATTAGGTTAAATACACTAAACTTATTAAAGAATGAATTTGATTGCTTACCACATAACATCATCATCATCATCATCATCATCATCATCATCATCATGTGAGAGCAGTGCCTACCCTGACTGGCCTTATGCGTCTAGGAACTTTTCTTATGTACTCAAATAATAAAACAAAAATGCTAAATATGTATAGCATGATGCTTCTAAGAGTTCCATCAGTGATTCCACCTTCTGACTTAGATCCACTAGAGGAAATCCAGCTCATTGACCAGATACCTGAGAAAAAACACACACACACACATTGGTTTATTATTACCAATTTTCTGTTTGCTTCAGTTATGAATGGTCACAATTTGTGTTCCATGACTTCTACTGCAAAGAGGGAATGGAATAGAGCATTCTTC